GAAACGATTTCCTCGTGTTAAGGTACGTACATTTTGCGGATCGTATAATTTATACGATCCGCAAAATGTATAGTATAATCTGTAGATCAAAAATGTATTGAAGAGATGCAAAGACGCAGGGTAACAAAAAAGATGTTACAATGACGCATGAAGTGGGGGTTAAGAGCGGCGTCAATGACGCATTAAGTAAGGTTAACTGCTACGTCAGAAATGCTTAAAATTTCGTGTAGATTTAGTCCGGTAGTGAACAAGTTAAAACTGCGCACACCAACCCACACACCCACACACCCACACACCAGTTAACATATCCATGTGTGAGTGTGGGGGTGGGAGGCGATAAATCTTAGACAGCGTTGAGCCTGGTTGTTGTTAAGTCCGGGTCAATACAACGGAGAAGGTAAACGGTGTAGGCGTGTTCGTGATGTCATCTTGAACGATGAGAGTTTATTTTTAGATATTTTAAAACATCTGTCATTAAGTCGTTTACTCCGTCATGCCGGTAATTTAGTAGTCCGGCCTCGCTTCGTCGTGCCGGTCATTTAGCCCTCTGGTCATGCCGGTCATTTAGCCCAGGGGTCTCCAAACTTTTCAGTCCGAGGGCCGCATTAACTATGAAATATCAGTTCGGGGGACAGAGTTTCTTTAAGGCATCTCTTCGGGAGGGGCGCCCCCCTCCCGAAGAACGTTTATCCCACCCCCCCCCCCACCCCACGAAATATAATTTATAAAGAAATATTGGCAAATTTCAAGTGTCCACCCCCCTTCCCCCACCCCAACGGAGGAAAAAGTCTGGAAGAAACGCTTTCGGGGGTCGATAACACACTCGAGGTCCAAGTTTGCTCTCAAATTGTTCTTCACGTATTTCATTCTTGAAAATGTTTGTTCACACAGGTATGTTGTTTCAAAATTTGAAAGGTACTTTGATGCAGAACTTTTAATATTAGGAAAGTCTTCCTTGTGCAAAAACTTATGAAAATTAATCTGCCCTTCTTTGATCGTGTCTCTAAGGAAGTCATTTTCTTTCAATTCAATGACCTCCAGCTGCAGTTCATCTTTGCAACTGGCCACATTTACTTCAAATGGGCTTTGAAGCAGTCTCACTTCTTCTGTCTTTGAATCCAAGTCAGAGAACCTACTGAAACTGCAGCTGGAAGTCTTTGATGATCATATGTAAATGACGTGGGAAATTCATTGGTTGCTTCAGCCGTAAAGAACTTGCACTGCTGCAAGTGCGTCAAGTTGTTGGCCTGTACTTGTTCCAAATACATGACAAGTTTGAATCTGAAGGCCTTTAGGTGGGTGTATAGATAAGATACTCGATTTCCCTCTCTTGCCGTTTTAGGTTCAGAAAATTTAAATGACTAGTTATGTCTGCAGCAGAGGCCAATTTCTATACCCACTCTAATGAACACAAAAAGTTGAGGTGGAACAACTGTTCAGCGACTCATCCATTGCACTTGAAAAATGGCGAAACTTGCTTGCATATTTCGCTATTTGAGTCACGATGTTTTCACCAATGTCTGAAACACGGCGGGCAATGGTATTTTCAACCAAAGCTACAATTTCAAATTGTTTTGAATTTTCTGTGCATAGTTCCTCAGTCACCTCAACATTTATTCAGTGGACAAAAAGATCGTCGCGGGCCGGATGAAATGACCTCGCGACCCCTGATTTAGCCACCTGGTTCCCTCTGTCATGCCGGTCATTTAGCCCTATGATTCGCTTAAACAGCTACCCAGCACATTACTGTATTATTTTGGTGTTATACTCCCATAGAAAGACAAACAAACAAAGCAGTCGTCTTTTTTTAGTTTGTTTTCACATATCCAAGTCTCATTTAAAATTGGCTAAAAAAAAAAACCAACAGATATAAACAAATAATTAGGGAAAACCCAATAGAAATAAACAAATAATAGGGGAAACCCGAGAAATAAACACCTGGCGGGAAAAATAGGACAGAAATAAATGAAATAATCGGGAAACCCCGCAGTAGTCCTGTTTTAGACGAACAGTTTCAAAAGCAGTCTAGGAGGAAGCGAAACAAAACATGTTACTTAAAGATATCAAAACAACAACAAATAGAGAAATCTAAATATAGAATTTACATCTAGTCGTCCTGGCCAGCCTCTCTCCGATGAATTATTTCTTTATTCAACAGATCCTAGACACCCACGGGGACGGCGTGGTCGAACTGGTGAGCGTATGCTTGCTAGCTGCAAAAGTCCTGAGTTCAGACCTTAGGTAGATGAGGATCATCAGCTGGGGACAGCAACCCATCTAGGAGAGAAAACTTTGAAAGCAAACAATTCTGCCTTGTGTAGTTTGTTCTTGTTTGGACAAAGACTTGAAGGAAATTCAGTAAAAAAGTTGGTTGAAGTAATTGTGAACAGTAAGTCGCCTAAAATGCTGTTATGTAATGTGTTTGAGGAAATCCCTTTCAAAATTACAGTTAAGAACGAAAAAGAAAACACCTATATTTACCCCCCGCCCCCCCTCCCCCCACCCTCTGACCGCCCTCTTTCCGGCGTGGACACAATTCCCACACACCCTGGGTACGCCCGATCACAAAATATGATTGCACCTGAATCAAAGCTATTATAACAAGCCGGCCAGGTAAATCTGACTAAACTGACATCTCGTCTTTTTGTGCCAACAATTTGTTGACGTGGTAAGGTAATCAGCTAAAACTGCGCTAAGGGCAGGTAATCCAGTTATAGCGTAAGCAGGTACAGTGGATTATCGTTCATAGCCTGCCACACAACAACGCTATTTATAAAATGTAAAAAATATTATTGCCGTTTGTGTTTATCAACAATTTCATTAAATTGTAATATAACAATTATTTTCACTATGTTTTTTTAAAATAAATTTAAAATGTGTATTTTATTTTTAAAGACACTTAGAATTTAATGTTAAATTCTACTTCTCTCCATACCATCCCTATGGCAATCATCAATCAGTGTGTACATTTGAGCGACCAGCGAATCATTACAGATATGTATGCTTTTAACTGATAAATCGATAAAGATTATCGCAAGGTTCGTGGAAATGTAAACAAAAAAAAAACAGTTTCTTTAGTGTGAGTTAATTTTATTTGCTTCAACTAAACTCTAGGTCCTATCAACTATTTGTGCGCTTTTGACTTAATCCTCTTTGCTCTTTGTGGAGCATAGAGCCTCAGCCATAACCTTCCATTTTGTCCGGTCCCCGGCTAATGATTTTGCAACATCCCATGTCATCATTACTGTCTTTAGTTATTCAGCTTTGATCCTCCAGGTTGGGGGTTGTGTGATGGACTAACTACTCGTCCACATTAACAAAGTAAAGTTACAGAAACCGAAGCCAAATCTGATTGTGTGGTCTTACTATCTGGTGAAAGATATGAGTGCTAAGACTCATAATGATGCAAATATGCAACAGGCGGACACTTCAAGCATTTGTCGAAGTCAAAGGGTTTTAACCTTTTTCAAGCTATCGAGCCCCACCAGTTTCATATGCGCCTACCCCGAACCCTTCTCAAAAGTTCTGTCGCCCGCACTGACAAAACTCGATCGTGAATCATATGAGTCGGGTGTGTGTCTTGATCTCCGCTGAACCCCTGAGACTGACTCACCGAACCCTCGGGGTTCGATCGAAACCAGGTTGAGAACCACTGGTCTAAGTCCTCAGACAATGATAACATACGAAGGTAAGTAAATTATAACTAAATAGATACACCACTGGTAGAGGCACTACCAATGGCAGAAGCACTACCAGTAAAAGAGGGAGGCACTACCAGTAATAGAGGCACTAACACTAAAGACACTATTATGTGACAATGTTGCTATATGACAACAGTACATAGGTACTTTACAAATGTATTACTACATGGCGAGTTCGTGTCTTACATGGAAAACAAGGGGGAGGAATTTATAACAGACAACACACAATACACAGTTATATATGGCAAATGTATTACTTTTAAACTTCAATTGTTAACGTATACGTTTAAGTATTTAGAAGAAAAAGATCAATTAAAAAGATTTTTAAAAAGTGGCAAGTCCTCAAGTTTCAACATTGAGAAGGGAGTTTACTGGTTTTAAAAGACGAATATAATTAGGGACGACTGAAATGCGTCTGTTCATCTTCTCATTTAGAAGACAACGTCTTGTTTGTATTGGTTATAAATAGAAACAGAAAACACGTGCACTAAAAACGTCACGAAGCGCCGGGGGTCACCGATACCAACTTAAACAAAAATAGAAGATCACCTCAAACAGAAATTGGCCCATATTTTAAAAATACAATAGTTGAAGAAAGTCGAAGGGTCTTAGAGTGATCACGTGATCAACAGACCACGTGACAGAGACATGGCGTGGACGAGACGTGTAACACAACATGGTGGAATGGAGACAGCTGTATCACACACTGTCCTAAAAGTTTAGCATCGTGATGAGGTAGCACTGACAAGGTAGCACGTTTAAGGTAGCACTGACAAGGTAGCACGTTTAAGGTAGCACTGGCAAGGTAGCACTGGCAAGGTAGCACTGGCAAGGTAGCACTGACAAGGTAGCACTGACAAGGTAGCACTGACAAGGTAGCACTAGCACACACACACTAGATAACATTGGCACTACACTGCACACACAAGTTGTCTCTCACTCAGTGGACTTTGCTACCGTGTAGCAACACACAATGGCGTAAACAGGTGGTGTTAAGGGGGTTGCACGCCCCCCCCCCCCTAAAATAAAAGTTGGCTCCCGTTATGTTACAGTTTTTGCCACGATGTGCCGTGACTTTTTATGAGTACTAGATGTAAGATTTCAATGCTAGTTAAGCTTAAGTTTTACGCTCTCAAAATAATTTAAGCGTGTATATATATATATATATATATATATATATATATATATATATATATATATATATATATATATATATATATATATATATATATATATACATTTCCAAAGAAATTGATAAAAATTGAATAAAAAATAAAACAAGAACACAAACACAAGTAGAACGGGGCAATAAAGTTTTCTATATTTTTCTAGAGGATAAAGTAGATACATTGGGTTTGAAATGTTTCAAAATAAAAAAAAAAGAAACGAAACAACCTTGTATTTGTAGACCCGTAAAGAACAAAATATTTTGTACACTCAATTCTCACCCGTAAAAAACCGCAGCATTGGACATTTGTACATCTTGAAAATATTTTAAGAACATGTACATCTTTTTCTGTTAAAACTAAACATCCAATCGTTTAATATACAAGTACACATAATTACAAGCAAAGAAAAATTACAATGTTCTCAGATTTTTGTGTTTCATTAGACATAACGAGCTTTACTACGATTTAATTTTTAAAAATGTATTTAACAAACAAAAACAAAAAGACTATAATTTGAGTTCAAACTATCTCTCCCCTAATGTAATTATTTAAAATATTTTTTTAAAAATCTACTAAATTCCCATAACTGAGAATAAAATGAACAGGCTATCATATTTATACAAGTAGCAGATTACTACTCTAATACCCAATGGATCAAACGCGTACATTAAAATTGTAAACCTTTCGTTTAAAAAAAATTAATAAAAATAAATTAAAAATATGCCTTTTTTAAAAGTCTTAACTAAAAACGACAAAAATAATTTAGATTGATCAAAATTCATCAGCTTATCGTCGAGTCTCACAAAATTTCGTATGAAAAATTATCGTGTGTGGGTTATTTCCCATGCTGATGCCGTCGTTCAGACTAACAGCGCAATGGGACGGCACATCCTTTATTCAGCTTGTCGAGGAATACTTTTTCCTGATCATCTGCTTACACTTCCACCTCTGCTGCGGGGGTTTGAACCCACAGGCTTTCATGTGCTTGATAAAGTCCTGTTTTTTGGTGCAGCATTTGTTGAAATGTTTTGGGAATTTGGCTGAGCACCTGGAGATTTTGTCGGAGAGTTTGTCTAGACGTCCGCGTTTTTTCAGCTTGACTGGCCGGTTGGCGGACTCGTTGTCCCTCTCGTACTTGCGCAGGAGGGCCAGCATGGTGATGTCGCAGGACATTTTCTTTTTGGCCACACGCAGGCCAATCTGGCAACACCGCTCCTCGCTGGGCTGGAAGCTCTGTTTTGGGCAGTCCTTCTTGTTGATGCTGATGTTGTAGCGGACTCCGCCCACCTCCTCCACGCTGTGAAGGCATCTGAACGTGCGGACGATGGCGCCCCCTGTTTATTTCAATATATAAATAAAAGTATTGTGGGTATAGCATCTGCTGAGTTAAATTTAAAAATTATTGTGAGTATAGCAATTAAATTTTAAAAAAAGTTATTATAGGTATAGCGTATTTTAAATTACATTTAAATTGGATATGCTTTAGCTACATTTAAATAAAGTACTTGGTGCTCGAGATTATCGAAATTTTAATTAAAAACTGTCGTGGATATATCTTATTTTAATCCAAAAACTATCGTGGCAATAGCTCATTTTAATTTTAATTAACAACTATCGTGGCTTTGGTACATTTCAACTTAAGCTTTTGAATAGCAGTTTAATTAGCAAAGTATAAGACTGTATAGTAAAGGTCCTTATATAAGACCTAACAAATATAGGGCAGATGAAGTAGAGTTCCCATTTCTTGACATCGGCCTACGAAGAGATGGTGTGGTCAGCACTATGCCCAACCACCTCCACTTGTCCCTGGTACCCACCAAATCTGGGTGGACTAAAGAACGTCCTGCAGACTCAAGTCCGGACCGAGATCCGAACCCGAGACTTTCATGCAAGCAGTCGAACGCTCCACCAACTGACCACACCGTCCTTTCTATTTCAATATTATGACTGACCCCCTCCCCCACACCCATCTTAATTTTACAATTATTCAATCTGAAGGTGTATTAACACGTAGGCCTACATTTTGTCGTAAAGTAAAAAATGCATCAACTCACTAGTTAGACTGAGTATACACGACGCGACTATGGCAGACCAGCAGAGCAACATCTTGCTTGTCCCGGTGAGTTGTGGCCTCTCTTTCAACTACATCAAGGTCAAGGCCGATCCAAGGTCAAGGTTAACGTGACCTCAACACGTTCACATAAGTCAAGGTGTTTGTGTCTGTGTATCAAAAGTTGTGCGTTGAAAAACAAAAAAGTTCACTGTGGTCAAGATGACCGCTGTCCACTGGATTTGACCGTCGTTACCACCAACTGATGAGGGGTAGAAGGGTCATAGCGACGGTTGCAGTAGAGTCTAGCGAGATGATGGGAGGCTCATCGCTCAAGGAAAGTGTGGGATTCGGTCTGTAAATGGATAGAAACATTTGTGTTAGAAATGTTGAAGAAATTTGACAGATAACACTCTCAATAAATTATCGGTAGAAACACATGCAGCATAACGCTGACAGACTACAACATCACATAAAGTCTAACAAAACATGTCCATCATACGAAACTCGTCCAACGAAAGAAAAACAAGGCAAAAATAGACTACGAGAGAAGTACAACATACTAAAGAAATCCTGAATTTTAGACATACAATATAAATCCCACATACTAAACAAATACAATATACTAAAATAATAAAACATACACAATAAATCCCACATAGTAAAAAAAAACATACAAAACAAATCCAATATTCTAAACAAAACAAACTCACACAAAAAACCCAATATAGAAAACAAATCTAACATACTAAACAAACCCAATATACAAAGTAAATCCAAAATACCAAACAAAGCAACATACCTAAACAAACCAACTTACAAAACGAACATATATTTAAAACACGCTCAGCTAATCCACCTAAGGCTAGCCATCGACAGAAAGACATTTTAGTTCACATCTTCTTTTGACAGAAAGACCATTTGTATATCGCCAACAACTGGTTTTAATTTCTGAAACTAATTATGTCATACTAGACGATATTTTGCTAAATCAGCGTCAGGGAATAATCTCAATTATGATTTTTATGTTCCATTGTTGATTTCTCTGCAATATGATACATTATTTTAAATAAAATAAAAATCAAATTAAACAAGTATGCTTTTCAAATAAAATCTTTTAGAATAAAAAAAAGTATTAACTTTCACATTCGGTAAAGATTATATTTCATTAATTTAAGTAATAGAAAAATGTGTAGCTCATTTGTGGTTGTGTAATGACTTCTCAATTCAACGTTTAACTTATTTAATGAACTTCATTTTATTAATTAAGACTGGGGTCGCATTGTTTTTCAATAAAGAGCCTTTTTATTTAATAGTTCTGCTCAAATTTTATTTAAATTGCTGCGCTGGAAGCTATAATCTAAACTACATGTTGTAATTACTTTAACCTACATTGAAGAATTTTCATTTGTAATAAACGTTCTATACACATTTTCATAATCTTTTATTCTAAGCAAAAATATTTTAGATATTTGAGCGACCAATACGCTTAAAATTAAATTTTAAAAATATACATTTTGTTTTACTTATTTTCTTTTTTTTTCACTTTTAAAAACTTATTTTAAAGGTAATTAAACTTATTTTATTTTCTTATTTTTAGGAAATTGGAATTTTAAAAATAAAAGTCGATATTAAAGTTAAAAAAAATATTAGTACCATAGTTGTCCTTTTCATTCCGTTTCTCTTAAGTCTACATTCACACGGTCAATGATATTTGCTTTAAAACCAGATCTGTGGCTAGGGACCTTCATAATCTTTTACCGTTTGTGTCCAAGACACATGGGGCAGAGGAAGTAGAGTTCATCTCTTTCACTCTACGGCACTTAGGGGCATAGTGTAGTGAGCACTATGCCCAGCCAGTGTTTCTTCCAGACTTCTCTCCGGGGGGACACTTGAAATTTTCGGGGGGGGGGGGGGCGGTAGGCTTTCTTCGGGGGGCGGGACGGACACTGTTAAATGTATATATTTTCTATATAAATTCCATTTAGTTGGGGGGGGGGGGGCGGTAGACTGCTTTCGCCCCCCTCCCCCCACCGAAGAAACTCTGTGCCCAGCCGCTTTTGTTTCTCTAACGTGAGTCAGGTACCCATCGGAGCTAGGTGGGCTAAGGGATCCGAACTCGAGACTTTCGGGTTAACATTTGGATGTTCTACCATTCGACCACACCGTCCCCAAAAAGTAAAGCCCCCTTCCGAACCTGACGGTCCATCGGGCAAGTGAAGTAGAGGTCACCATACGAAGGGATAGTCTGGTCGCAGTCTGCTATCTCTAAACTACAACAGTCGACTTCTCAGTTACGTCCGCGGTCAAATATCTGATGAGAGACCATCAGGGAACAGAACTCACCTCCGTCACCTAACAAATGGAGTGACAGATTCTACTTCAACAATGTATAAACCATTTGGCTATTCGATTTAATAATCTTTAAGTATGACTAATTATGTATCAAAGTACAATGAACATTATATATTTTTACGTCATCATTGAAAATGAATATTTCTGGAAAGTTTGAAAGAAGTCATCACACTATTAAATGGATCAAAATTGACCAACAGGATTTAACCACCAATCAACAGACATACTGAGCCAAATCTAGCCAATTGTGGAGCCGCGTGCCCTGACGAGCTGCTCAGAGCCGACCCCAGTGTTGATGAGTGAAATGATCAAACGCATGTCATTATACACTTGTCACATTTGTTTTGGTGAGGAGCTTAAAGCTAGAGGCTAGTGGACCCAGGCTTTTACCAGCAGAGCGAAGTGGATTCTCTGAGGCAGCGCTGGAACATTCTAGAATGTATAATAATCTAAGAGCTAAGGTACGGCATCAGGACTAAGGCAGCCAGAAAATTCTAGAATGTATAATGAATTAAGAGCTAAGGTACGGCCTAAGGAAGCCGGAAAATTCTAGAATTTATAATGAGTTAAGGTTGGCTTCAGGACTAAAGCACCCAGAAAATTCCAGACCGTATAATGAGTTAAGAGCTAAGGTACGGCATCAGAACTAAGATATCCAGAACAGCGGAATGTTATTCCAGGTGAACATATGTCACAGCAGTTCAAATACTTGTGCTTGTTGACACCTGTCGTTAGTGAACTGTGTCAGGTGTTGCAAGTGAACTGTGTCAGGTGTTTACACCTGTTTAAACACCTGTTGCTAGTGAACCGTAACAGGTGTTGTTAGTGAACTGTGTCAGGTGTTTCTACCTGTTGCTGATGAACTGTGTCAGGTGTTGTTATTGAACTGTGTCAGGTGTTTACACCTGTTGTTAGTGAACTATGTCAGGTGTTGTTAGTGAACTGTGTCAGGTGTTGTTAGTGAACTATGTCAGGTGTTGTTAGTGAACTGTGTCAGGTGTTGTTGGTAAACTGTGTCAGGTGTTGTTGGTAAACTGTGTCAGGTGTTGTTAGTGAACTATGTCAGGTGTTTCTACCTGCTGCTAGTGAACTGTGTCAGCTGTAAAGATCATCCAATGCAACAGGAGATCCCTAGTTATCTAGGCGAGTTCATAGCTGACTGTTGTTAACATGCTTTTAATAGCCTGCTAAGAAACCTGTGCATATAAACTTCACATGGCAACCTGCTTTTAGCAACATGTCAATGACAACCTGCTTGCAGCAACCTATGCATGACAACGTGCTTTTAGCAACATGCATAATACAACCTACTTTCAGAAACCTGTACATAGCAACCTGTACATGACACCTTACCTTGAGTACTCTATACACAACCTGCCAAAAACAACCTCGATTAATAAACACGCGATGCATTAATCCCACATTACACGGGTATTCCCTGGATTCGATCCCAACCCCCCTCTGCAGAACCCACACTAGCAGACGACAAAACCTTGGTGTTATCGTCTGGCAGATTCTGCAGGTTGTTGCATCATCGCCTCTCGCTCTTAAAGAGTGTTGAGATAAAAAAAAAAGGTAGGTGAGAAAGAAAGAAAGTAGGATGGATGCAACAGAACCTTAATCTACAGTACAGATTGTTAGGAATCTCGCGAGAAATAGTTCCCGTCACCAATGTTTCCTCTAAGCTGCGCGGTTTGCGCGATCGCGCACTAGTTTTTGAACTGCCGCGCAGTCATTTTCTAAAATACTAATATCCTTGAGGAAGACTTTTAGAACACCGCACACAAAATATACGTTGTACTCTAGATTTTTCCCTTAGAGGGAATGTTGCTCGTCAACTAGACCGTTGTTAAGTTAATGAGCCGACGTGTTTTAGCCCCGCACAAAAACTCACGGCCTAAAGATTGGTACAAAAGACTCTTTCAAACCTAACGGGGTTAGGTGAAGTGGAGTGGGTTTTTGGCATTAGGTGGGAAAATGTGGTCAGCAAAAAATGTGGGTAGACGCAAGAATGTCTTACGGACTCAACCCCAGGATCCGAACTCGAGATTTTCGGATTAACGGTCGAACGCTCCATCATTCAACCACACCGTCCCCTAAAGTTTGGTGTCCTTGTATTAGATTTAGTGCAAAAAAAAGAAACATTAAATCAATTAAGCTATAAGGACGAGCTTTCAACAACCTATTTAACGGTATTTAAAATAGAACCACAAAGCGCCCCTGGGACGGACCCCCCCCCCCTCGCGGGGCGTTACTCGTTAAATCCCACATCCATCAGACCCAGGCTATTTGTACGGACATGACTGTTCAAAAGTCGTTAAGTCAGTGATGCCATTTATGGACGCCGGTTGTAAAAATTATATTTGGATGGAACTGTGAACAAAAGGGTTCATGGAGTCACTTGTAGACTTCTGGCCGCGAGATGACGCGAGATTCACAGCGTGATACCGCGAGATTTACAGCGAGATATAGCGAGATTTACAGTGGGATAACGCGAGATACCGCGAGACTTACAGCGAGATATCGCAAGATTCAGAACGCGATTGAAAACATAAGCCAACGACAAGTGAATGATATTGGGATGGAGTGGAGGGGGGGGGGTTGAGTATCCATTGCCCGGTAGATCATCCTAAAATAGAAAGATAAAACACACTTTTCTATAAACAAGACAAACCGCGTCTAAATATATCCTCAAGCGTATCTAGTGACTTGGGAGACTATTTTAGACTTGTATCACATTGATACAAACATCAGACGTTTTTATTGTATGAAGTCAAATTAGAACTATTTTAAGGGAGTACATTAATAACAGCCAAACTTCTTTGGTGCTGATTTTTATTACCAATTATATTTGAATATGCTAGGACTATACGAAGATATCATATTGAAGTCTTGAAATTTCTTATTGTGGGTTTTAAACTGTGAGATTTAAACGGATGTATTTTAATCTGTGTCCACACGAATAGAAACGAGCGCAAATTACTCAAGCCTAACAAATAC